TAGAATAAAATAATTATGAGTGTACTTAAAGAATTTTATAAAGATGAATATTTTCATATCACTCTTAGGTTGAGGCAAGAAACTTGGAGCTTTGTTCCTCGGGCTCCTACTCTTTCTGAATTTAAAGGTGCTGGATCATCTGCATCATATCTCGCGCTCTTGTTCTACCCAAAAGGGCACCAGACAAGATCTAAGCCTGGGCAAAACGGCTTAGGAGATGAAATAAATTAGAGCCTAGGGAGATGAGCTCCTCAACTACTGCTTGGTCACATCAGAAAGAAAATTAGTCTAGCTGCTAATGATGATGTGTGCTCAGCATGCCACACAGCACACGATCAGCCCTCACTGAGATGAGAGAAGGACTGGAGCTATTAACAATCTTAAAGTCAAATTGAGGAAACCACATCCCAGAAAGTTAGCCACACGATTGATAATTAAATAACTCTCCTAAGTCATCTAGTTTTCTAGGTTAATTTTTAAATCATTACTGAAACTTATAAAAGACATATTTTTATCTAGGTAGAATTACCTAAATTATTTCTTAAGATTTTCTCAATTAGTGTGAATTTCTCTTAACTTGATTCTTTTTCTTCATACACACCCAGCACTTGGGGAAGAAATTTTCAATCATTTATTTCTTTTGATATAATATTCATGCTACATTGGGACAATCTCCATGCTGTCATTCACAAATAAGCCAGATGCAATACATTTCAACCCATGATTGACATAAAAAAGTGAGTCCCATTTTCTGGCTGCTCTTACCTTTTTGCCTCCTGCCAAAATGGCAACAGGAATAATAGCTGCTTGGGTCAAATGGGACCGGGCTGAGTATTCCTCTATTACTTCACAGGCTCTCAATTTTTTTCTTGCACTGAAATCTCACCCTCAAGACCAATATTCAAAACAGACAAAGTGGAAGCTGCAAGTCTCTTTGGGCCATTTCGACAATGGCTGCTTTATCTCGTTTAATTCTCGAATGAAGCTGTGAGTTATTGACCATTATTATCTCTATTTTAACTGAGCCTTAGAGGGCATTAGTGACCTTCTCAAGGACATGCAGTAGTCAGACAGCAAAGCCCAAAGTGTGTTCACTGGATCCACACAGATTCCTTTACCCTCACTACCCTGAGTGCAAGATACTACTCTGGGCCCGTAGGAAACACCACTGAGAAAATACACGGAGTACCCTGTCCCTTGTGGAGCTCATACCCCCCCAAAAATGACTTGAGTGTAATCTAAAGTGCTGTGGGTCTTAACAACGCACCAGCAGGGCTCCACTAGGATTTTCTTCTCTCTATAAATAAAACACTCTTTCCTGACACAACCAACAGTGATATATTTCTCCTGTTATTTGGAATATCCCTCCTAACACTGGGGGATATAGTTCAGTGTTATGATGCCTGCCTGGCAAGCATGAGATCATTAATTTGATTTCCAGAACACCCTCAAAAATAATAATAATGACAAAATATCTTTTCTAAAAGATTCTTTATAATTTAAATTTATATATTTTAAAAAATCTATCTTCCCCTATGCTATCCAGCAATTACCAATAATTGCTAACA